TATTTAAATTCTTTTAATTTTTAATAATAGTTACTATCCGACTTTTTATGGATTAAAGTCCAACTCAATTTTTCTTCAGTTAGCCCTGTCAATTGAAGATGTTGGGAAATTGGGAGAGATTTAGAATATAGAATATAGATCAACTTTTACAAAACATAGATCCAAGAGAAAAGTTAACTCTGACCATAAATAAATGACAACTTGGTTCTCCCTTAGGAGTCTGGGAGGATAAAGTTCATTCCTGGAGTTGATGTTACCTAATACGACACATGTTTTTAATTTTAAAATTTCTAAAAATAATAACTACTCATTTTCATACAGGTTAAACTGAATCTCAAAGATTTTTTTTTTTCTCAAAAAAATCACAATTGTTTCCCTACTTAACCTCCATGAAAAATTACTAAATTTATTTAAATAATGTACCATATCAAGTGTTTAATATTGTAGAAATATGAGCTTAAAATATTATATGAAAATTTGATGTTAGAGTATTTCCAACCGTGTATATATATATATATATGTATATATTTGTGTAAATCTGGTATGTCATAATAGATTTAAAAAAAAAATTTGGATTATTTATTTTTAGCTTTAGCAGTTGTTTTTTATCTTTTGTATAAAAATATATACCCCAATAACAATCAATCAATGTTATTTCTGGACCCACATAATTTTTACAAACATTCTTAATATAGGGTTGATTGGTTAATATAATGAGAAAGAATAAAGAGAAATAAAATATGCTGATGTAGTTGTGTAAATAATGTACTATATCAAGTGTTTAATATGGTAGAAATATAAGCTTAAAATATTATATGAAAATTTGATGTTAGATCATTTTCAATCGTTGGGTATACTTTTTTTTTGTGTAAATCTGGTGTGTCATAATAGATTTACATAAAAAAAATAAAATAAAATAAAAGGATTGGATTTTTTTTTTTTAGCTTCAGCTGTTGTTTTATACCTTTTGTGTAAAAATATATCCCTCAATAATAATCAATCAATGTTATGTCTGGATCCCACATAATTATTACAAACATACTTATTATAGGGTTGATTGGTTAATGTAATGAAAAATGGGGAGAAGAAAGCAAATATGTTGATGTAGTTGTGTAAAAATAATGTACTATATCAAGTGTTTAGTGCTACATTTAATATGAAAATTTGACGTTAGAGCATTTTCAACTGTTGTGTGTGTATATATATATATTTTATATGTAAATGTAGTGTGTCATAATAGATTTACACAAAAAAAAAAAAAAAATGGATTATTCATTTTTAGCTCCAGCGGTTGTTTTATACCTTTTGTGTAAAAATATATCCCTCAACAACAATCAATCAATGCAACCCCACATAATTTTTACAAACATACTTAATACAGGGTTGATTGGTTAATGGAATGAGAAAGAGGGAGGAGAAAGGAAATATACTGATGTGGTTATGTAAAAAAATTGTATAAAATACACAACAATTTTACACATTTGTGATATGATAGTGTATCTTAATGACTGCTAGACATAAAAAAAAATTACACATTCACAAAAGAGCATCTCCAATGGTCTGTTAAAATACCTTTTTGTGTAAAATATACACGGTCACCTATGATGTGTAAATTTTTTCCATCTCTAGCAGTCTGTTAAAATACATTGCCATATCACCAATGTGTAAAAGGGTTGTGTATTTTACACAATATTTTTACACTGCCCGATCAACATATTTTCTTTCTCATCCCTTTTTTTCGTTCCATTAAAAAATCAACCATATATTAAATAGGCTTGTAAAAGTTTTATGGGGTCTTGGCATGACACATTGTTGATTGTCATTGGGAAATATATTTTTACACAAAAGGTATAAAACAACCGTTGAAGTAAAAATTAAATAATCAAAAAATTTTGTGTAAATTCATTATGACACATCAGATTTACACAAACAAATATACACAATGGTTGGAGATACTCTTAATCTCTATTTGAATAGAGTTTTTCTTGTATATTTATTTCTGGTTAGAGTTAACTTTTCCAGTATATCTATTTTTTGTCACAGTTAAATCTATTTTTTGGATTTCTCCCAACTTCCTAATACAATGTATCTATGGAAAAATTATTAGGTTACCTACTATTTATATACACTAATATTTTTAGACTCGTATTACCTACTAATTATATACACTAAAAATTATTTGGTTGCCTATTACTTATAAAAATTATTGGGTTACCTACTTACTTATATACACTAATAGTTGGGGAAAAGAGGATTTAAACCTCGGCTCAATAAAACGGAGACACTTTAAGACCTGACATTTTTACCACTTGAAAAATACTTTTACAACTTAAAAAGTAATTATAAAATTTGTTGTTTAACATGTGACAATTAAAAATATTAGTGTATATAAGTAGTAGGTAACCCAAAAATTTTAAATATTTTTACCACTTGAAAAATACTTTAACAACTTAAAAAGTAATTATAAAATTTATTGTTTAACATGTGACAATTAAAAATATTAGTGTATATTAGTAGTAGGTAACCCATAATACTACTTATAGCGAATATATATGGTTTTGGTCCTTTGGGTGTTGTTGGGCTTTGGCCATTGTAACCTTTTGGGCTTCTTTGCTGGGTAAACCCTTTTGCTTGTATATCCTTACTTTTTCAAATATCTTTTTGCTCTGCCTTTCAATAAACAAATAAAATAAATAAATAAATAAAAAGAATATATGCTTGCTTGTATTTTCCCTTATTTTTTAACATATTTATTTGCTTTGCCTTTCAAATATATATATATATATATATATATATATGCTTTCAGAAAGCATATCTAAAGAAGGCATAAGTTGCAGATTGAGAGAATCCAGGCCTCGAGAAAACAAGCACAAAAGGGGTTTGTCTCCTATACGGTACATGCTTGACTTTATCCGAAAAAAAGTGGTTCCTCTTTTGTGTGCTTTTTCATGTATCAGGCGTTAAAAAAATAAAAAAATAGTATTATGGGTGTCAAGATGCGGATGTGAATAATTTCGTATTTATTGTATAATTATTAATAGTTTACCAACTAAGCTGGTTGCAATCTTGTAGCAAATACACCCAATTTGAACTCTCAATTGCTTCATTTGGAAAAAAAAAAAATTACATATTTATTGGACACTAGAGAGGTTGGTTCGTCCTATTATGAAGTTTGTCAATATTTTACATAAACTCCTCTATATTTAATAATCTCACCTACATCTCCTATCAATGACTATAAGATCAATTTCGTTCTAATGCCTGAAATGATAGTAAATATTTTAGGGACAAAAATGACAAAATAACACTATGGGAAATGTAAGTGAAATTAAGAAATGTATAGAAACTTTACGTGAAATATTAAAAAATATCAAGAGAGGTAAGAGAAATTTATTCTACTTCAATTTATATTTTCAAAGTGTCTTAAAATGTATACTTCATTTAATTTTTTAAATATACAAAAAAACAAATAATAATAATAATAATTTGATACTTTTTTTTTCTAGTTAATTATTTGATACTCTATAATGCAATGTGAATGGGACATTACAATCTATGGAATTTATATTAGTCCTTTCACACTACTATAATAATAGAAACGTAAAAATGATAATGATTTTACAAGCACGAATAAGATGGTTGCCATTGTAATGGTGTGATGTTGAATACTGACATTTATAGCCTTTGAAAGCCTAATAATATACTATATATATGTATGTTGTGTATGTATATTTATATGTATATAATAACAAGGATTATGTCATTCAAAGTAAAATGGTACTTGGCATATCCTTCCAAACCAAAAAGAATCTGCAAGGTGACATGTTATGAGTGGAACATTTTGAAGCTAAGCTCTAATTTGAACCAGAGTTGAGATAAAGAAGGATTAGGACATTTCCACCGTCCATTATTTATAATATCAGACACAACAGTCATCCTTACCTAGCACATATTGGACAAGACTGAACCATCGGGGTGCCAATAAATAAACCATAAAGAGGTGTTTCGACTATTTCTAATGATGTGGATATTTTTGTAATTTCATGAGCAGTCACTAAGGATTTCTTTTTTATTCCAAAAACTTCATTTCTTTAATTAATAAATAAATTCTCAACCATTTTACCCATTGAGAAGCAGAGTTGATAGACAATATTTCTGTTGATAAATGTATATATTTTATTCACAATAAATGACACAATACATAAAGAATTTAACATCTAATAAAATAACATTAAAAGATTGAATTTAACAAGATGAATATGAAGATAGAACTTTAAAAAATATAATTGAAAAAAACTACAATTTATCGAAAGAATATTCTGAATATAAGTAATGAACTACACTCGTTTAATTACGGATAAGTATGATAATGCTCTTGTTTTGGTTAAGCCATTTTGCCCTTTGGGGTAGTAACGGGTGAACGTTTGCCCGCTGACTCTTAAGTTTTGGATGGTATTTTAAACCCATTTCATTTTTTATTCGAATTTGAAGTTGGACAAAGAAAAATGATTATGTGAATTTCTTTTCTTTTTTTTTTTAATTTGTCATAACGCCATAAATGCTCCACTAAATCACACTAACTCCTTCTGTCCCAATTTAAGTGTTGCTTTTAGATAATAGTAATTTTTGAGGGGACATGTGGGACATACACCATCTTCTTAAAAAGTTACTAAATTACCATTTTAAATTTTGAATATTTAAGTTTGAAATTTAAAATTCAAAGGCATATATAGAAAGACATGAAATATATTGTTTGAAAAAGGAAAATAGACAATAATTTTAGAACAAAAAAAAGAAAAAGAAAACATGACACTTATTTTGAGATTATTCTTAATTAAAAAAGTTAATGCATTTATAAATAATTAAAATGAATTTATCATTTCATTGGATAATAAAAAAGAAAAAGGTTCTAACAAACTGGCTAGGTCCCACCGTCATCTCTTGGAAAAAAAGGAAAAAGAAAACTTTTTCATCTCTCTCTACATATTTTACAGTGCTGAGTTCAGGCTACAGACACGAACATATGCAGAGCGTTGCGCGCTCTTCACGTGCCCATCATCAACATATCATGTGATCCTCCCTGCTCTGAGTGTTCTAATCATCACCACTGTACGGGCTACTCTCTTTCTCTCTCTACAATTATCTCTCTCTCCTCACCCCTTCTTGCTCCTCGGTCAGCTCACTCGCCCACCCCACCACATCAACCAAGACTTCACATTGACCCTTCGAATCGCTCCTCCGTTTCACTCTGTTACGCTCCGTTAGGGTTTCAGAGACACCGTACTTGTGTGTGTATCTGTCTATGTAAGCAGTCGAGCATGGGCTGTTTACAGTCCAAAACCGCCAATGTTCAGTTCCAAGACCAAGAACCCCCTCAAACTGACTCCAAATCAGATCTAGGTACTACTTAATTTGTTCACTTACAGATGTGTGTATATGTATATGTGTTATTGATTGTTTTTAATATGTGTATTGAATGTTGATGAAGCGAACGGAGATCAATTGGATCAAGATCAAGTACCTGCATTCAAAGAGTTCGGTCTTGCTGAGCTTCGAGCTGCGACGAATGGGTTCAGTAGCGATTTGATAGTGTCGGAGAGTGGAGAGAAAGCACCCAATGTTGTTTACAGAGGAAAGCTCCGGAATAATCGCTTTGTGGCCATTAAGCGCTTCTCCAAGCAGTCGTGGCCTGACCCTAAACAGTTTGTGGTAACATTTTTTTATGCTTAACGACTAGAAAATGCTTCATTTTCGGTTTTGGGTTTTTGCCTTTGATTTTTGTTTAGTTTTGCTATGATTTTTTTTATTTTTTATTTATTTATAAATATTACTCTTTTTTTGGGGATAATTTATACGTTTTTAATAAACTCGTGTGGTTACATTTTACTTATTATTTGGGTTTACTTTGTGGTTATAATATTTTGAAATCTTTCAATATTTGGGTTGTAGGTAATGATTCTTCGGTTTGCCCTGAAGTTACTTTGAGTTGTTGAACTTGTAACAACTTTACCTTCCAAAAAACAAATTATTGGTCCCACTGTTCCATTTATGAAAATTTAATATTCTATTTGCTTTATTGACAACAAAAAAAATAAAAAATAAAAAATAAAAAATAAAAATATCTATTTACTTTTTCTTTCTGAATTTACGTGTTGCTATTTATGTATGTTAATGACTTGTGAATTACAATTTCATTTGCCTAGGAAAAAAAATTAAATTTTCATTTCATTTTGTGGCAACACTTTGGGGGCTTGCTTTTGATTCTTTTTAGTTTGTTACAATATTCTTATCAGATTTGATTATTCATTATCTTCTTGTTGGTTTTTTATTTCTTTTATTTTTTCAAGAGGGGACTATTGTTTGGTAATGATAAGAGATTGGATTCTAATGTGTGTCTGAGTACGAGCAGCCACTTTGTAATCGTTGTGCAGTACAGTGACAAATATTAGGTTTTTTTACCCAGTCTACTCCTCCCGGCATCCTTGTTAAAGTGACTAACATTGGGTTATTACGTTTTTAAAATAAAAGGAAATTATAAAAGACTTGGTTTATACTTTCTACTTCAGTCCCATAAAAGGGAAACAAGACACGGGAAAAGAGAATCAAAGGACAAATTTGGTTCCCAGATACTTTTCTCTGGAATGTTAGGATGTTGGCTTTTCCTTCTTTTTGAAGAGAGCCAAAATAGAAACATACATGACAACCTTGGATTTGACACGGAATTTTTCTGACTGCATGCTCCTTATGGCCGTTCTCCTGAACAAAGTTCAAGCAATCATCATTTGGCATGAATTTAAAAATCTTTTGCCCATTCTTAGTCAACTGAATTTCGGGCACATTTTCTTACAGCAGAATTTGGCTGATTAACCTCTATTGCAATTTTTTGAGAATGTTTCCTTTTGCATGTGAGGACCCAGTGAATGGCTTCGCCCATATGTTGCCATGATGGAATTCTTTTGTATGCTTTATCAACCAGCTTTGTCTTTTTCATTGGACTTCAGCTTGTGACTTGAAACTGGTGCTATTTGCATTCCAGACAACACTTTAAAGACGGTATCTACAGACTATCAGTTTGGGTTGTTAGTATTGATTTATTAATATATATATATATATATTTTTTTTTTCCAGATATAAAATTATTGTAGGGATTTCAAATTTAGCTAGTTTTATTTTAAGCGGTGCTATTTGCACTCCAGAAAGCACTTCTTGCACTCAACTCTTTTTTTCCTCAGAATCGAAGTACTATTGTGCCCTCCTGTCTTGTTATTTATACACTTTTTGCATGCCAAGTTCAGTCCACTCTGTTTGTCAGCATTTTGTAGTCTTCGTTCTCTAAATTGTCTTAATTTTTTTGGAGCATTTTTGGGTCCACCATTCTTCTTCTATTTTTCTACAGAGGGCATCTGTAAGAAGTTTTATTTATTCCTCCTTAAGGAAGAGTTTGCAGGCACAGGATTTTGTAAAATGGATTGAAAGGGAATTAGGATTTAATAAGTGGACTTCAAGCTATTTCCTCTCCTTCATCCTTCCCTCCACTCAAAAATTCCCAAAACCTTACTCTCTTATCATCCTCTTTTCATTATCGAACCTCACAAAGTGCTGATTAAGTCTACTCATAGTACAACATGTAGAAGCAAGTTTGCTCGTTGTAGGATCTGCCATTTTCCAAAATCATACAATCAGCTCCAGCAAGCTTGGTCTCAGCTGTGCTTGTTGAATTAGTGGGATTGTATCATAGGTGCTCTAGCTTGACACATCTAGGTTTTCTTGGCTTTTGCAGTGTCAGACCAGTATCAATCTCTTTCTTGAGCATTTTGTTATGGGTTTGTCATTTCTCCATTCTTTCTCAACAAGTCTCTCCATGTCTCATTATTTTGGTGATGGGTTTTGTGGTGTAATTTTGAGAAAATGAAAATGTGATATGTATATATCATTATTTTGTTGTCACACACACACAACAAATAGAGAGAGAAAAGGGGAGAAATTTTATTGTGATCTGGATTCTCTTTTGGGAAATTGAGAGGAAAGGGAGCAGATGGAAGAATAGCAGGAGGGATGTTTTTGTCCTTGCGTTATCTTGAAAAAGGGGGTGGTGTGCTAGAAATGCCTTTCGGAGTGCAAATAGTGCTACCATTTTATATTAATCACATTGCTTGCTATATCTTGGGTTTTTGCTGCTGATGATCCCTTTTTGTTTATTGTAAGATTATTGTAGGATTTTTAAATTCATGTATTGTTTAGTTGGTTACTAATATGGGACAGACGGAGTATGTTTTTTCTTTTCTCTTTTTGATAATGGCATAATTTTGTAGGCGGAAGCTGCTGGAGTTGGCAAGGTTCGGCATAAGAGGTTGGTGAATCTTATTGGGTGTTGTGCTGAAGGAGATGAACGTTTATTGGTGGCGGAGTACATGGCTAATGATACACTCTCGAAGCATCTCTTTCACTGTATGATTCACCTTCATTTCTCTTTTCTATTTAGTTTCTAGAGTGACTTATAAAAGTGTCCAGTATCAATTGAGGATTGGTGTATCTTATTGCCCATTGCACAGAGGGAAATGAAACATTTATAAGTTTATATGGGCCATTCTGTTTGCTTTAATTGTATATTTTAAATAGGTGTCCTGATATTCTGAGGGTAGGTTTAAGTTCTTTTTCCTTCATGGGTTTAGATTGTTCTAGCCTCTTTGTTTGTTGCTTGATTGTTTCTTAGGTGTCTTTTCTTATATGTCCATAAAATTTTAACTATTTACTGTAGGGGAGAAACAGCCACTGCCTTGGGAAATGCGTTTGAGAGTTGCATATTATATCGCACAAGCACTTGATCATTGCAATACTGAAAATCGGAAAATTTATCATGATTTGAATGCATACAGAGTTCTTTTTGATGAGGTATGTGTTTGAATACATTTGGTACTGCTGAAAGAAGATCAGTCTTATGTCTCATATCTGAAAACTGGAAAACAGTTGCAATTTTGCGTTGGATTGTGTCCTGTTTTTGGCACCCTAATGATATTATTCAAAAGATATGCTAAAATAAAAATATTTAATATTCTTGGATTGGGTCTTGTTTTTGGCACTCTAATTATATTATTTACTTTTCAAATAAAAAAAACAAAATGATAAATTGGAATCTGATATCTGTTGCATTAATATTCATACATCCATCATTGATCTTAGTGGTATATACCTTGTTCTTTTTTGATCTATTCCATAGCAGCAAAATGATTTACTTTTATGCTTATTTTTGTTGGTAACAAACTTACCTGTTATTTCTTGAATTTGATTTTTTTCTTATGCCAGGATGGTGATCCTCGATTATCTAGTTTCGGTCTTATGAAAAATAGTCGAGATGGGAAAAGTTATAGCACGAATTTGGCTTATACTCCACCAGAGTTTTTACGGACAGGTATATCCATATCTTTTCACTTGGTACTTTCGAGCACTGGTATTTGAAGTCTAGGTATTTGTTATGGGAATTCCAATTTATTGGAAATCTTCTTTTTATATTACCTGTTCTATCTAGTTTGGCCTTGCTTTTTCTTAGTATTGCCACTGGAAAATATTAGTTGGTTTGATGTGCAAAAGGCAGTTTTGAGAAAGGAAATTAAATTGGCGTGAGCGGTAATTTGGTAATGTACTGAGCTCTTCTTTTCATATTGGGCTAGGCCTGAGGTTGACAAGTATATTATATATAAGGGTATATATGAAGTGACTGAAATTATGATCTCCTAAATGATGAAAATAATATACCTTTGGAGTATAGACAAACACTTTATCTTCTTGTCTGATGCAGACACATGGTTTCCAGTAAAAGCCAATGATGTCTGTCTTAACATTTTGCTGACTCTGCCTGCTACCTCAAAAATGTTTGCCTTTGTTTTGGACTCTTTATTGACTTCATAAGCACCTAAACTTAACCAAGATTTGCGCAGAAAAAACCAGTTATTTTTATCTAGACGAGTCAGTAGCACTGCCATATTAAGAAATAAAGATTTAAAAGTAATCTGTAACCTTGGGTGGAACGATTAATTTTCCATTCTGGCCAGACTAATTAATGAGAATCTTGTCCTGCGATCAGTTAATTGCATTACTTTAAGTTAGGACTTAGCACCATTCTTTCTTTCACAGTGTTTCTGGATTTGTGTATTCGTCAATTTCTTGCTTGCGAGCCATCAGATCAGGCTGCTGTTCCGCTTTAGTTTTGTACCTTGCTCCATGGTTGTTTAGTGCTCTTTCTGGTCATAATTACTGAAATATTATAAATGGTGGTTGGAATTCACGACACGTATTTATTCCATATGATTTGGATTTTAAAATTTTGCAGGTAGGGTCATTCCAGAGAGTGTGACCTACAGTTATGGAACTGTTCTGCTGGACCTTTTGAGCGGAAAGCATATTCCTCCAAGCCATGTATAAGCATTTTTCACAGATACTGACTCATTTATTTTCCACTCTTTTAGGCTTGTTAAATTTTTAGAACTCGTGTTCGATTTATTTACATGTGTTTGGTAAAAAAAATTGCCAATTTTTCGACTGTCTTCATCTGCTTGTTACAAGAATTAACTGAAAGCAGGCAAGAATGACTTGTATAGGGCCACTTTAACATACTTCATACACAATTTAACTGCAAGATATGTCTTAATATTCAATTTCATTCAATCATAACGAGGGTGAGCCTTGGCGCAATGGTAAGTTTGCTCTATTGTGAGCCTCATGCATTGGGTTTGCCCTTTTTTCATTCATATTCTGAATTAGTAATATTTAGAATTGCAGTAATGTTTGTAATTGATACTACTTTATGTTTAGCATTATGTTCGTTACTGTTTTCTCTTTGGTTTCTTTGATAACATACAACAATTTATTAATTAAATGAGCAAAGTATAAGGTGTCATTCTAAGGGAGTTGAAAAAAACAGACAAACAGAAAACCACCAATATACATGACATCTCCTGTACTTTCTCCTTGTCCACATATCAGAAAACCATCAATGTTGCTTATATTGCTTTCATTGAAGCTTGTCATTTTTTTGTTGCTTTCCAGGCATTGGATTTGATAAGGGGGAAAAATGTGTTGGTACTGATGGATTCATCCTTGGAGGGACAATATGCTGACGAAGATGCAACTGCTTTGGTTGAACTTGCTTCAAAATGTCTGCAATATGAGGCTAAAGATCGACCTGATATCAAGTTTCTTCTTACAGCAGTAGCGCCCCTTCAAAAGCAGAAAGAGGTGAAACTTTTTAGTATCAGCTTTGAACTTAAGGGAGAACTTGAATGAATTGCTTCATGCATGATAGCTTGATTCTATATGCATCCAAGCTTTACTGAGATGATCTCATTAACATTGATATTAGGTTGCATCACATGTGCTTATGGGTCTGACGAAAACTCCAGTGGTGCTGCCAGTCATGCTTTCCCCGCTTGGAAAGGCTTGTGCAAGAATGGATCTTACTGCAGTGCATGATATCTTGCTTAAAACAGGTTATAAAGATGAAGAGGGTGCGGAAAATGAGGTGAGTTATTTCATTACTATTGTACACATTACTCCAATTTGTCAGCGTAAAAGAGAGGGAAATTATGTATGAGTTTCACTTCTCCCTTGTAAAAATACGTCCTATCAATCTTCAATAAGAGTATTAAAACATTTCTCCACATCAGTTCTAAAATCTTCCTATATTAGAGCAAAAAATTGAAATTATAATTTCTTTCCAGAATATTTTTTTATGTGATTTTAAATTATCCGCACATATTTAATATTTTGTTAGCAACTAGATTTTTTTTGTAAAATTTATAATATCAATTGTAAAATTATTAGGTTATTCTTTTAGTAAGTAAAAGAAAAAAAATTAAATGTTTTTAAAAATAAAATTAGATAATAATATTTCATGGTATTTTTAACTTTTATTCTGAAAAAAATTCATACTAACGACATAATTTTTATCAAGCCTTTTAGGTTTAATTGAAATTAAATGTGCGAAAGATTTGATAATTATTTCACTTAAACTTCATGGGTTTGATCGATGATTTGTGATGGAGTGGTGTTACTTGCAACATAGTAGTGGACTGGTGTTAGAGATGTTCTTGTCCCAAATCGGATTTGGATGGGAAGAGTATTGGGCATAAATGGGTGGGTATGCAGTACTACCCAATAGTTTAAACTTTTGGATTAGAAAGCAAGCGTTTGACCCGTTACAGTTGGTTTAAGAGCCAAATTTAGTCCTTGATCTGATGTCACGCCAAGCACCAGACCGGGGAGTGCCCCACATGGGAGGTTTCGGGTTCGGACCGGGTAAGCAAGATGGTCAAATCGCAACGAGGGTATTGCGAGTTCCGGTGGGGGAGAATGTTATGGTCAGAAGGCAAGCATCTGACCTGTTTCAACTGGGTTAGGTGGAAGCTCAAGTTAAGTTGCAAGTTCGGGTGGGGGAGAATGTTATAGGTGTTCTTGTCCCACATCGGATCCGGATGGGAAGAGTATTGGGTATAAATTGGTGGGTATGCAACACTACCCAATAGTTTAAGCTTTTAGATCATAGGGCAACGCCTGACCCGTTACAACTAGGCTAGGTGGAAGCTCAAGCTGACTTGTTAGAGAGAGAGTAGTAGTGAAGAAGTCACCAAGTTTCATCTGAATACGGGAGGGTTAAGAGGAGGGCCACTCGCCCTAGGACCTTGAGGGGCCACCTCGCAGATAATTCCAAGTTAGGTCCACCTACCTGAGGACCTTGCCATATGATTGTGCTGATAGCAAGACTTGTCTGAGGAGAAGAGATCCTCACAATAATTAGTGCTTGTTGAGGGCTAGGGTCCATTAGAGATGGTGAATGGGTGTGCGGAGACAGTAATGTGGAGATCTTAAGTCAAATCATGGTGACTAATTACTTCGATGGCAATTACATGGCAATGAGTGAATACCAGATACTTACAAACTTAAAATAGAAAAAGCAAGAGTGCGAAATTTTAAACAAAAGCTACTGATGAATTAAATATCAAAAAGGGAAAAATCAAATCACAAAGTGCAATGGTTGATGTTGAAAATTTGAGAGATTTTCAATTACTATGGAAATATTATCAAAGATAGAACTTCGTCTTGTTGAAAGTAGATAGAACTGTTGGTCATTGAAAGGGAAATTGGTGATTGCATTCCTGATCCACTATAAATTTGAAAATTTATGTTTTATGAAAAATGTAGACAATCAAGTGCTTGATTTGACCTGAGTTATGATATGCTATCCATTGCACGTATGAAAGACACATTTTCTTACATCACTACTATTGATTCTTTTATTTAACTTGCCCATCTTTTGTATTATAATTGTTTACTTTTTATTTGATTATGGGCTTTTGGAATTGACAATCTTATATCCTGGTGTATTTTTGTGGCAATCTAATCTCTATAAAGTTATCATTCCAAGAATGGACACAACAAGTGCAAGATATGTTGAACACGAAGAAATTTGGAGATATTGCTTTCAGGGACAAGGATTTCAAGAATGCTATTGAATATTATTCAAAGGTATGTATTTTTTCTGTTTGTGGAATTCATTTCTTACTTTTGATAATTTTATATCTCCTTGATTCGTACTTGAGCCTTTCCAAAGTGTCTATTGTTTAATTCAATATTGGTTTCTCCTATCAATTTTGCGATTGTGTTGCCACTAGCCTCAAATTTCTGCAAACACAAGATCCAATAAATGGAAAAAATATTTAAGCAGGACACTCCCCCACTTTTTCCCTCCTCTCATGTGAGTCTGTGAACAACGGCTATCAATAGTTAGGGTGCATTATTATCCCGATGATGTGCTCTATGTTGCACGAGTTGCTCAAGCAGTTTGACTTGTATTCTATTCTTTTTCTTTCCTTTCTTTTTTATTTATTTATTTATTTTTTCTTTCTTTCTTTCTTTTTTTATTTTATTTTATTTTTATTTTTATTTTTTGTCAAAAGGTATTTTTTTATTTGAAAACAGCTTTCTTTTTAAGGGTTCCTCGTCCTTCTTCAATCTATTAACTTGCCAGAAAACAGTTTTTTTCTTTTCTCAATGTATACGTATGCTTTTTTTTTTTTTATCACGAGCAAAGGTGGATCCAGGGGTGGGCATGAGCCCACCAAAAAAAAAATTTTTTTTTTTTTACTATAGATAATTTTAGTCCAACCAAAAAAAAATTTAGTAGTACTAGTCCATCCCAGAATAGATTAGCCCATCCCATTACGCATTTCTGGATCCGCCCTTGATCGAGAGAGAGAGAGAGAGAGAAGAGAAAAACAAGAAAATTATTAAATCTATGAACAAAATAACAAAAAGGTGCTATATCTAACAAATTTTGCCAAAGTAAAAAGGATGGAGAAAGTCGAACACCTTTTATCCTGTGTGGTTGTCCCTGATCTTTGAGCTCTAAAATTATATTTTTGGAAGCTAAAGTCTAAAATGGCAGATTGCTTTTCCCACTGTGGAACTGTTTCAGTATATATATATATTTTTAATTATTATTATTTTCCCCCCAAGGGGATAGCCTAATGGCAAGCAAGACTCACATTACATCTTGGAGGTCGGGATTTCGAATCTCCTTTGGGGCCACTAACAAGGAATTTTTCCGGTATTTGCACGGTGCATGTGGGACGAGGGACTGCATGTGCCAAGTGGTGGATTATGGGGTGCTATAAGAGGCCCGACACCACCATCTTTGACCAAAAGGAAAAAAAATAATGAAATCGCTGCTTCTTATGCCCAAACAGGAAAAAGTAAGATCCCTCTGCTTTCTTAAAGTGATTGTAAACTGCAGTGTTTATCTTTCAAATGCTTGCTCTCACTGGATGGTGCAAATACCTCTGCACTTGGTATTAGAAGTTGATCTTCATGCTAGGGAGTGGCTTGTGTATATATTTGAAACATAAGATATTGAATTGCAAATATATATGACTTTAAGAAAACTTTATTATGAGTATAGGTGAACATATGAAACGCCATATTATTGGGGAGGAGTCCTGAAGTGACTCGTAAATAAGATATCTGATTGCTTGTCTGTCTAAGGTATAGGTGGTAACATTCATTTTAATGTAGGAGTATTCTTAATATATTATTATATTGAAAAGAAATTTATGGATCTGTTTTTACTTTTATTTGTCATTAAAAAGGAGCATCATAATTCCTAATTGGTGTTAAGTACTCTAAAGTCAAAACATTCGCACCTGAACACGATTGTGTATTGAACCACCAAAAATAAACAGGCACTGAGACTTCTGATGTTGTTAAGAGTCAGGATTCTGAATTTGATCTGTATGGTATTAAACAGTGAATTATAGAATGGAAACAAAAATATGAAATTGAGAAATATAAAATTAGTAAATAATAATACATTTATTTTCTAAAAAATCATAGAATAAATAATTCAGCAATTTTAGAAAGCTAAATATTTTCACTTTGCTAAATGAATTCAAGGGTACAGCTTGAAGGCTAGTGCACTTGCTTACGACATATAATTTGGAGTCTCAATTTGTGTGATGACATCAGGATTTGGAAATTTTATATCTCTACACTAACTTGGAAGTTCCTCAATAAAACTTTTATAGTACTATGATGATGATGCGTTGACAGTGAAGAATGAGTGATATGTGAGAGGCCTAGAAGATGCAAAAGTAGCATAATTGACTGATTGAAATTTATGACATATTTTTAACTATGCCGTACTCTATAAACGCTTAGAATAATTCCCAGAGAATCGGAGAAGCTATTCTGCTCACAAATAGCTGTTTGTCTTGGTGCGCCCATGCATGCACTCGTGTTTGTGTAAAATCTGGAGCCATATGCAAGGGAGAGCCAATTATTTTTATTAGATACTGTGATATGATAACAAGTTTGGGTTTATGATAATTCTGTTACAACTTAGGTTATGATGAACTCCAGTCTGAGAGTTAAGTCAGAGCAGAGGTTAATAAGATGAGACCAAAAATTATTTAATCTGATAATCTGTCTCCTGATTCCATACTCCAAGGCAATGCCTTTTTTTTTTTTTTTTTTTTTCATTTTTCTTATAATTGGGGTTTGGAGCTTGGTTGTTTTTGTCGTATCCAGTAAAAATATTAGTGTCTTCTTGTGGATGCCTCTTTATATGAAGTCACCGATTGTAACTCCTCGTTTCCTTAGCTTTGGTCTTAGCCAAGTTGAATTGTGACACATATTGTGTACGATTTGAAAGATGAAAAAGGAGAAAAATGGATGTTGCAATCTGTTTCACTCGGATGATATGTTTGCCAATTTAATTTGCAACCACCCTTCCACTTTTTTCAGCATATTTTTCAAGTTTGGTGCCTTTTCTTTGGTTCATTAATTTGTGCTCCTTTTATGTCATGAATTGCCCCAATTTGTTTGCTGAAATATAATGAATTTAGATACCTTCTTCAATATGTAGCTGGTATCAATGATGTCTGTTCCTTCTGGCACGGTATTTGTGAGACGAGCCCTTTCCTACTTGATGATTGACCAAGCGGAACTTGCCTTGAGGGATGCTATGCAGGCTCAAGTGTGCTTGCCTGAGTGGCCGACTGCCTTCTACATGCAAGCTCTTGCCCTCTCCAAGCTTGGAATGGAAAGTGATGCTCAGGACATGCTTAATGATGGAGCATCTTTTGAGGCAAAGAAGCAGAATAGCTGGCGCAACTAAATTATGATCCAATGATATATGGAAGTAAACTTGGCTGGTTCTTTCTTCGCATTACCATTAATTCATCGCTGAGGAGAGGAGATTCCAGTGGGGATTCATGGAAATGGGAGTTACTTTCATCCAATCCCTTCCATCCCCCAAATCGCACAAAATAGTTTCACTCGCAAAGAAATGTATAAAAAGCACTATTTTGAGCAAAAAGTAGTTGACTATTTACCAGTCGATTGTCATATGCTTTATAGCTATGCCTTGTCAGTTATTTTCTAGTGCCTTTAGAAGCAAGAGGAAAAAGGAAAGGGAAGGATAATGGCAACTTTCTAATCTTATGTAGGAAAGATAGTGAGAAGGAAAGAAAGAAATGTTTATTGTGTTAGTAGAAGTGATTTAGTCTTGACCACTGCCCCCAAAAATTCCTATACTTTGAGTCCGTTTCAAGGGCTGTTTTTTTGAGGAAACATGGTATACTACTTTCTAATCAATATCATTTGCTTTAGCTATGGTGCGTTTGGATAAACAAGAGAGAAAGCAAAGGGAAGTCTAATGGGTAACTTTCTACTCTCATGCGGGAAAGGTGGTGATGAGGAAGGAAAGAAAATATTTAAAGACTCTATCTTGATTCTTGACAACTGCTCCAAAACTATTCTACTTTCAGTCCGTTCTCTTTATTCATGGGCTTTGGGAAGTGAACCAACCCACTGCAGTCCGGCCCAAATACTAATTTGCTAGGCTTCCATTCCATTATTGGGGTCTTGTCCCATGTTGAACCCGGATGGGAAAAAGAATAGATAAATATAGGGGGTGCCTGACCCGTTAGGGTTGGTATTAGAATCCTACTCA